AACCGAATAATTAAATAAAAATTAAAAAAACCAAAACTTTAATAAAACCAAGCATGAATTTTTATACATTTCTTAAATAAAACCAAGTAACAATAAAACAGAACTTTAAGAATTGCTTTTGGTGTCAACAGCAGGGGGCTTAGGGGGATATTGTTTAGGTTGATCAAAAGTTTGGGTTTTCTGTAATATGTTGTTCAGTATTGGGCCAAAAAGAGTCTTTTGATCATAGACTTGTATTAGCATTCTGCTTTGGACATGCTGCAGCTCACAAGCAATAGACAACAGTTTACCTGAATCTTGCCTTGTTCTTATGCGTTTTGGTTTTCTTTTATCAAACTTATAGTTTTCCTACCCATACTAACATGATAACTTTGATTCAGTTCTTTTCAACAGTCTCTCTTTGATGAATCAATGCCTTTACATATATGCAAGTTAAGGCCAATGTATGAATTAGTACTCTCTCAGAGGTCTGAAACAGTCAAGATTGCAGAAAACAGTCATTTGAACTTTGTTTCCTGATAACAAAATCATGTTCAATGAACTAATCCACTCAACAGCACAAATGAATTAGGACCTGTTACATATGTTATCTACTAGCAAATTGACCTCTCCTTTCTTCAAAATTGTACAATGGTTTTCATGTTCCAAGTGAACATTTCCTCCATGTTCAAGGTGACACACAGGGTAGTGGATGTCATCTCCCTGGACCGACTAACTTTCAAGCTTCCATTGTCTGTACCAGTTCCATTTTAAAATCTGGGTGAGAGATCAACCATTTCCTTAAAGTCCACAAGATTTTTTCTTTTACTTCTCAACTTGCACAGAATGAAACCAATGCTAGCAACGGAGGATCCATATTCATTCTGTAGGAGCAGTGGAGTATGAGATGAACAATATTTCCTCTCGATCATTTGTTGGTTTTTCTCAACTTGAGCTTATAAAGATGAGAAATGAAGACTGGGAAACGTCAGAGACATAAAAAATCTGAAGCAAATGGAAAAGAAACAGGCATGTGATAATATTGAAAGCAATGGCCACTATAACAGCCATAGTGTCAATATAATCACGATGAGGAAAAACAGCAATAATGCCTGTCATGAAGGCTCCTGCAGTCGATTGTAGCGCTATGTATGTAAGAAATGAGGCGAATGCTAGGAAAGATGGGTAGGATTCTTTGCTACTGATAGCTCCCCAAAATATGAGGTAAGCAGCTGTTGTTGAACAGGTCATTGCAATGATATCGTAGATGACAAATCCAAGGGTTTTGCTTGCATTTAGAAGCGCCAGGCCGTGGGACCATTCTGGCTGTAGCCACCAGGCATTGTAAATGCTGCTGCAAATGTAACAGTTGTGATTAAAGTTGTTACCATCAGGAGGGTTTGAACTATTTGCTTGTAAGACTGCATTCTGGCATCTTCTGCTTCTTGGTTTGCACTTGGAGGAATGTTTTCTCTAATATTCCAAGTAGGTGGGAGCTGAATTTTCTCCATATGATTGAAACTGTCTTCTGCAATTTAATAATGATCAAAATTTTCAGACAGCATGTGTGAAGCTTCATCAACAATTATGGGGAATTAATTAGTCTTGCATATAACAGCAGCTAGAAGTGACTGACAAGATTAAAGCAGTGCATTGCGTGCCAATTTCTCATAAAAACATTATAGCTAGCCAAAGATCTACTTACTGTGGGAATTGTGAGACATGATTCTCTGATTGAATGATCAATATCAAAGGCAGTTTGGCCCTTTTTGTTCTTGGCTCTTCGATCCACTCTTTTATCCCATATCAAGTACCGCACAATCCAAGTTTTCCTTCCCATAGTGGCCAGATGCAAAGGTGTATTTCCGTCCTTATCAGGCTGGTTTTTGAGCCCCTCTGTTTCTGCTGTTTCTAGCATATACCTGATAACATTACCTTTCCCACTAAGGATGGCACCATGAAGAGCACTACGCCCACATAAATCAACAAGTTCTGCAGAATCTGGACAATGTCAAATATGCTCTTTTATAACGTTAACATGACCGCTGCTAGCTGCAACATGAAGTGGCGAGTGACCATGTTTGTCCAATACATATGCAACAGTATTATCAAGTTCCAGTAATTGTTTCACAGTGTTATTGTCTCCTAGTGATGCTGCATAGTAGAGACAGGTTCTGCCATGATGGTCAACCTCTCTGATCAGCTCTGGTTTGGCTCGTAGGAGGACTTGCATGATACCTTACATTTAAACACAAACTTTATTAAGATAAACAGAATTTTAATAGTTTAATCACATGAGTGTACTTATGGGAGGCTATGACTTACTCCATAAAAGTCTAAACAAAAGAAAAAAATCAGATGCTCCGTCAAGAGGAAATATTTAGCAGCTCTAGAAATTTACAGTCTCTATTTTAGTACAATGTTAATGTGTCAAGTTATAATTACTAGCTATGTGTAAAGATAAACTTGTGAAAATAAATGAGCCAAACATGAAAATTACCATAATGCCTCTCAATCACAGCAGCATGCAAAGCTGTTTGGCCTTCTGAACCTCCATGAGCTGAGGCCGTAGTTGATGTCAGAATTTCATTTCACTATCTCTAGCATTCCTTCTCGAGCAGCAAGATATAAAGGCGATTCACCAGCACAATTTTCTAAAGAAGCCAACTTTGTATCAACCTTCAGCAAGAGCTGAACCACACAAAGATGGCCATTCCTGACAGCCTCATGCAAAACGGTGTTGTTCTCCCTGTTTCCCATGCTCAGAATTTCAAACTTGCCCATGATTTCATCTTCAGGTCCTCCCCATGATGAAGAGAAGATTGCTCTTACCAGAAAATCAACTATAGAGAAATGACCAGCCCTTGCAGCAATATGTAGAGGTGTATCTCCATCTAAGTTCTGCTTTCTCAGGAGGAATACACACTGGCCACAGATCTCAGTGACAATACCCTTGTGTCCAAATTTCACAGCAATATGGAGGGCTGTGTTTCCCTGGGGAGTCACCTTAGAAAGTATGCCTGGATTTTGATGAAGAAGATGTTTGAGGGAATCACGTTGGCCCAACTTGGCAGATTGGTATAATCTTGGATCCATTGATTCAATATCTGGTACTGGTAGCATACACAACCAGCAAAGGTTCATCTTGGGTGTTTTGTTTAATTTTAAGGCTTCCCAATGATAGCTACAAATGTGAACAAGTTGACTTGACCCATAATTTTAGGGGCCACTGGAAAACAATATCCTTCATCATTTTCCACTTTAAATTTCTTCATCACATAGGAGTTAGACCCGTGTCAAGTTGAAAAGTTCAATTCAGTTCAGGAAAAAAAAGGAAGTTGGTTTCAACTTCAAATTTATTCCATTAAACAGTGTCAACTCAATGTCTCATATCTTGATCAACATAAAATATCAGTACAAGTTACAGACTGAACTACTCTGAACAAGACAATAATAATAATAATAATAATAATGTATTAACTATAAAAGTTGGTCTATTCCCCACCTAGAAAAGATTGGATTACTTGTTCTCATAAATTTGTCTTGTAAACTGCATATGTTTCAACAAAACTAAAACACATACATTGACTTAGTATTTTTAAAATTTATATTTGAACTGAGAAAGGTAACAAGTCTCCGAATGAAATTGTTAAATTTGTTATCAATATCTTAACCTATTACTTAATATACAAGTTATTTGCTATCAAGGTAAGGAAAGATAGAACACAAAAAGTCAAGTTGTGAATTTCATGTTTTAGAAAAATAGAAAGTCGAACCAAATAATCAGTCTCTTAAAGTTGCACTAGTGGGAGATGCTTTCAACAAGTTGTGTACAGCAGTTTTTTTTTTTCATTTAATTATTTATTTTTTGTCTCAAGAAATAGAGAATATCCTGACATGCCAAGCTCTCATTTTTCACCAATCAGGAATCTCTGATTACAATTAGTGTGGAAACTTCCTGTCATCATGGTACACTGACAATTGACCTGGATATTCTAGGGTAGATGATATATGAAAGAGCTGGACATGAATTTAACACACAGAGGAAGAGTTTTATGCTTGCTAGCTACAAGCAATGGCAGATAACAAAATATGTATCTTTTACTCTGCCCAATGAAAACAGTTGCACCAAAGTTGTAACGGAAAGAACATTGAGATAGCCCTGAAACGTTGACTGGATATATTTTGCAGAGATCTTGCCCAGCAAGATTGGTGCGGATATGTTGCAAGATCAAATCAATGGCAACTTGATGATTACCTCCTCTGGGGCCAGAGGAAACAGTTAACAAAACCTACCAAGGAAATGCAGGAAAACAAAGCATATTATTGCTGATCGTAGCTTCCACTGATTCCTCCAAAGGCACCTCTTTTTATGAATAAACTCTAAAATCATCAAAAATGGACCTTACAATGTCTACAAGAGGTAAGTATGGTTACTGTTTAGTAAGCAGCAGTAGTGATTCTTCATTTCGAAGGTAATCCACTGCCTTTCTAGAGTAATCAATTGCCTATAGTTCTGTCCAGACTCATAAAATTTATGAATCTCTTGCTTATAAGAGAGGCACCCATGTTCATGAAAAAAGTCTAAAATCATCATACAAGGGCCTTACAATGTCTACAAGAGGTAAGTATCCTAACTGCTAAGTAGAAACTTCCTAATCCCAGAGGAAATTTGCAGCCTTCCTAATCATTGACCTAAAGTTCTGTTCTGACTCATAAAGTTAGGAATCTCCTGCATCATGCATGTTCATACAGGGACCGCACAATGCCAACGAAAGCTAGGTGTGCTTACTGTTTAGTGCAAAGCCCACCAAAACCCAACAACAAAAGTACAAAAATCTTTCATTTTTGAGCCAGATCACTAGGCCCAACTTTAGTAAATATGGACTTCATCAATAGATTAATGTTGACTGTCAAATCATAATCTAACGGTCCAGATCTTTTATGCACTTTACAATTCTCTATGGTAAATGCATGCAATATTTTCCTTAACTACCATCATTGTTCCAAGGAACAGCAAATTTTTGTTTCAGTTTCAGTTCAGTTGTGTACTTAACTTTGCATGATATCAGCCTTTTGTCTGCAATTAAACCACCAAATGTCTCTAACCCATCAATGTTCACTAAAACATCATCGGTTACAAATAAAAACTGTTGGGAAACTTCTTCTTCTTGTTTTCTTCTCTCTGGTTGTCTCACTGGCAATTCTCAACAGTAATCCAATTCTAGAGAGGAAAAGTGAAGGTTTTTACTCTTACTTCATGGTTTCTCAACTGGGTTTTTTCAATTCTTTACTGTCTTTGATGTTGCATGTCCGTACATGTTTGTAACAAGAGTAAAGTTTTTAGAATTACTGAAATGAGTGACAGTTGATTTTTGTATTCTGTAATTTCATCGGATTATAAAATGGGTGCAAAGAGTGGTTTTCTAGGAGCAGAAACTAGTTAAATCACTTAATGAATGCAGTTCCCAGATTTGTTTCTTGGGAGTGTTTACAATTCTGTGTATGGTGTTCTTTTTATTTGTTTTGGGATAGTAAATCTGCTAATTTTATGGTTAGCATGGTTTGTGAATTTCTAGGAAAGATAGATTTCTGAAGATTAGATGATCGGTGTGATGATATAGCTAGAGGCCCATGTTTTGTTACAGTTTTAATTGTGGCAATTGGGCTGATTTTCTGTGCTATTTTGTTCTTACTTTTTGTAATTTTATGCCATTTAGCTGATAGTATAATGTTTTCAATTACCTTCCAGTTCCACTTCTACATATTTTGTTTATTGCTATTAAAGGCCTGATGTTTCATGGGAATTTTGTATGGAAATTGCAGATTCTGACTATTTGGTAAAAAAAATTTGGTGACTCATTTGCATCTTTCATTTACTGATAGATCTCACTCATATAAATGATTGCTTTCTTGAAGGTAAGAACAGTGGAAGAATGGCCCATTTTTGTGGTGCTTGCACAAACTAACTATGGTAGATAGATAAATACATACGGAGAATGATCTCCTTCCTTCCAAGGTATCTATTTAATTTTTTCATCAACTGCATTTAAGATGAAGTTTACAACCTGATGCCAATGCCAGAAAGTATATGGGGCTTACCAATCAAGAATACTTTCTTTGATGTTCTCATCAACTGCAATTAAAATGTGTTAGGTCAGACTAAGAAATGATAACCGTATGGCTTGCTAAATGTGAAAAAACAGGCACGTAAATTGTGTCAAAAAAGAAGTGTACTTAAATATTTTCATCCAGGCTCATCTAGATTTAGAAAGGAAGTAATATTGCATTTTTTTTATCGAAGTATATTTAGAAAAAAAGTCCATTTCGTAATATAAAGATTTTCAAGTGAATCATGTAGAGACAAGAAACCTTGACAGGTAGTGCATGTGATCTTGCATGACATAATTGTGAGTCTAGAAGTTAATGCATTCTGCCTGTACCAACTACACCGTGTCAATTTTTGTCATTAGATGTGTGCTTATGCATATGCACATGGGACTGCATAGCTATTTGCTGGCAGAATGTAAGCAACAAAACACAATTTAGCCTTCCCAGTTGTACACAACACCTCTGGCTAATGACATGTAAATTGCAAAGTAATTTGGACTGCATGATGTATGTCATGTATTTTTAACATAAATTAGTCCAGACCTATAATTGAACACTTCCATCAAAAAAAAGAGTTCTCTTAAAATGATTGTTTTTTCTTTGAACATTTTTAACGGCCATAACAGACCTGAAGTTTGGAGGATGCCGTTTGTGGTATTGTTTTCACCTTTTTCCTTGTGTTCATTAGTTATGGGGCTGTTTTTCCTTATTTTTCACATGATTTCTCCCATTCTGAACTGGAGAGTCCTTTCCCTGTTTTGTCCTGTTTTTGCTGACCTGTCAACTTGTCTATTGGACAGTCTTCAATTCTCCTCATGAATGTGTTTGTGTTCATGTTTGACACTTTCAGCTTGAAAATTGATATATAAGGAAATGACATGAAGGTTGACCTTGAGACTTCGGTTTGTGGTTTTTATGAAGAGAGCTTGATATAGAATATTATCACACATAGCTGGCTATATATTCTCTTCATAAGACACTTTCAAAAGTATTGATATCAATAAATATTCTAACCTGTGATGTTTTAAATGATACAGTGCAAAATGGAGGAAAAGAGAAAGAAATTCATGATACACGTTATTATTTGCTAACCATGGGATATATTTGGTTATCAGTTACTAGAAGAGGCACAATCTTTAATTACTTGTTAACCTTCACTGCCAGGTCATTAAATTACTTCCAGAAAATCCATTTGAACCATAGAAATATAAAACCTCACTTTTACTGATTTGTTAAGCAGCAATTTAGTATAAAATTTACCATATGAGCTTTCTTTCTCTCCTGGGATTCTTCTTATCTGTTCCAGTGCAAACCTACCACTAGTCAAAATGCATGAACTCCTGGATTGCCACTTTGAAGAAAAGGTTGTTGTTGGATGAGCGTTATAAGTTCTGGAGTTCTCTTTCTACCTCATTAGGAAGTGGTCTGTAGTCTCTTTTTCTCAAGAGCAGCCAGACGCACCAGATGAGATCTGTGAGTCCCCAAACCTCTTCTGTTGTTTTCTTGGCATTCGATCATTCATCTATAAATAAAAATTTATGTATGTGACATTCTTGCTAATTGAGGCAAAACTTTATAACTTGAGTTTAGGATGAGCTGTGAAGAATTGCAGTTCACATGCTCATGAGATTGCAATGATTTTGTTGTCTAAATGTTGTAAAATCGATATCTTTCTTGTTTTGATGCCTTTATTCAAAAATTTGATGGACTGATGAGGATTCTTGATTAGGAATTGTGAGTTGTGGCTAACTTTACCTCATGGTTGGAGACATTGGACTTTTGGTTCTTTAAAATCAAGGCTGTGTTAATATCATTCCCCATGTTGATCACAGCTCTTTATAAGATTACTTGTTTTATGTGACCAATGTTTTGACATTATATATGAAGAAAGCTAAAATATGGATGACTATTTTGGAAGGCTATGAAATAGGCATGAAATTGCTTTGGTTATAGTGAGATCGAAAGAATAGGCTTGCCACACCATTCAAAAATCAAACATAGACCTGTTGCATTTGAATTTTGTAATGTGTCTTCCTGCTGCATTCTCTTAAGTATTTATTGTTCGTTTTTCTCCATCTTTGCTTTCTTGATAGCATTTTGGTTCCTTTGTTAAATTCCTAGAAGTTTCTTTTGCAATACTACTTTTAACTGTTTCATGCCAACTCATTTATTATGCTACTATAATGTCTGTGTCCATGCATGTCTAGACTAATGGCCTTGCCCTTGATCCAGGTTCTGCCTGTAACAATGATGTGTCTGTAACACAATTTAAATCTGTTACATACCCTTGAAAATTGCTTCACTTATCAATTTTTGTAGTATCACCCGCTAATGAGGTTGTGTGTTGCGTGTTGAATGGAAATGCAATGATACTCACAGAACTGTAAATAAAAATTCAATGCATAGAGCATGTTACTTTTCCTCTATCTGTTGCCCTCATTTTCAAAATAAGTTTTTGTCAGATTGGAAATTAGTGTGTTTTGATCTTACAAAGAGATTTTAGAAAATCGTTCCATTTTCATGTATAAATATTAGCTATCATTAATCTCAGCTCTTGTTACGGGAAAAAAGTTGTTGATGTCTCCTGCATGTTTAACTAAAATAACTACTAGACTTAATCTTGCAGATGGTTCCCATATGTCAATCTTAGGACAGGTGTGGTTTTTTTATTGGACGAAGGAGGTGAAGAGAGGTTAGAAATGGGTGAAACAGGTGACGGATGTGCTCATTGCATAACTGATAAATGGTATGAGGTAGAATATGTAGAAAATGTGCTTGCCAATATACTGTCAAGGCTTCCAGTTAAGTCACTTTTAGCATGCAAATCTGTTTGCAAGCACTGGTGTCAGTTGATAAGTAGTCAGGCTTTCATTGATTTGCAGCTACTCTGGTCTAAAAACCACTCCATTTACATAGTTTATCCTTACATGGATATGAGGATGACATTATATTTGATGAAGGACGGTGATGAAATCACTAAAAGAATTACCTTTCCGTATTGTGGCAATCTTTCTCCCCTTACCATCATTTGTTCCTTTGATGGTCTGCTCTGTTGTATCAACTATACCTGGAAGGTGGACTCAGGCATGATAGTTGAGGATGTAACTGATCTGGAAATCCGCATCTGCAATCCTGTCACTAGAAAGGCTCTATTACTTCCGAAAGGTAGCACATCCGAAGAAAAACCTTCCATTGGAGTTGCTTTTGGTCCACAGATCAACGAATACAAGATATTTCGATTTTTCTGTGCCAAGCGCATATCTCTTGCTAAACGTCAATCCCGTGCTAACCGTCGTCAATGTGAGGTATATTCATCGAGCACTGGATCCTGGAGTGTTATAGGTCGTGTACCTTACTGTCCCATGCAATCTAGCCATAGCCCCTTGGGGTCCAACCATGTTTTTGTCAATGGAAAGATATATTGGCTCATTGCTTCAGACGAAGATCACATGACCGCTGGCTCTATCCTTACAGTTGACATCGAGGAAAACTTTGGAACTATTGACCTTCCGAAAGAGGTCACTGAACACTCATACTTGGTTGATCTTGAAGGCTGTTTATCCCTAGTTGCTGTATATGATGAAGATGAGATTGTGAATATATGGATTTTAGAAGACAAGGATAAGCCTAAATGGGAACTGAAATGCAGTGATCCTGTTCCCTTCTCAAATGAAGAATGTGTTGAGTTTGTAGTTGCAAGGGAGAATGAAATTTTCTTTATAACTTCAAATCATTATTATATTTATGATCTGGACCAGAGGTTTTGGAGGGAGCTTGATTTGAGCGACACTTCTGAAAAGAAATTTCCGGTTGCTGTTGCATACACAGAAAGCCTTCTCTCATGTAAGTCATAAATTCATTTCTGAATGTTATTTTATGTTATGATGGACTTATTGACACCATTTTATGGTTTAAATCCTAGTCTGATACCATTTAGAAACAGTTTGAAAGTCTAATAGAGACCAGACAGACTTTAGCTTTGATTAGCTATTTTCATGGACTTACACATAGATGCATTTCATGTTGTGAAACAGAAAAAGGAAAAACAGACAACACGAGGTCATGATTAGTTATAATTTATATATAAGTTAACAATGCTTGAATCTTCTTCTCTTACAGGTGATGGACGCATGGATCCTCAGACAGAGGACATTTCCAACAGAACGAGCATTTAAATAAACAACTCTCTGTATATCTCTTGTTATCTTTTTGTTCTTTTACTCGTTTGTTACTTATTCATCTTGAACTCTGAATCAACATAATCTTTGTATATTTATTGCAGAAAGGAGCTTCAGAGGATGAACAAACGTCTCCAACTGTCCCATGTTCACCACATGGAGATCTTGCACCTTTCTCTTTGCCATGAGCGGGCTCTTAACTTGTGATCAGTTGTCAACACAGATGATCCTTCGTCTGGGCAATAATGCTCACCTTCTTTATTTTCATGTTATGATGGTGTAAGGTTGTCTGTGCATCTGTTTTATGTCCAATGACTTATTTTAATTTGACAATAAAGATATCGGTGTTTATCTTTGCAAATGTGATGTTACCTTTTCCCTGGATGACCTACCATTTCTGATCCCTAAACTAAAAACCAATAAACAAGTTTTTGGTCAGGTGAATGTTCTGTGAGCTTACTCCTATTCTGTCTTTTTAAAGGTTGTGGAAAGCATATTAGTGGAGAAAAATGCCTGTAGAATGTCGTAGTCTCATGTAAATACAGACTGAGACATATAGCTTGAAAATGTATTAAGTATATGTAGACAACACACTGCTGACAAAGAAGCATCTTACCTGATGACTGACTATCTTTCAGAGTGTATCTCAACTTTCACCCCTGGACACCGATTCATTTTCATTTAGTAAAAGAAATTCAGTGACTGTTGACTGCAGTGATGAATTAAACAAGAATATAGGCAACCAACTTGATGAGTGTGGAATTAGCCTGGACGCTTATTCTTGTGTTATGGGGTCTATTCTTGCTTCAGTAGAATCTGCCAGAAGCTGTCAATTGTTAGTGGTTCATCAATTTTTTCGATCTTCCCAATTTTCATTGGTTAACTAATAACATTTCTAGCTGGAGTAGCTGTCTCTTTTACGAGTTTCATCCCATCCTTTGTCCTCTCTGTAGAGGCTTAAGGAACTTGGCATATCAGTTCACATTAACTGATGCATTTTTCCCTTGATATAATCTGGACATGATAAGATTCTGGCAATCAAATTTGTCTAAGGCCTTGTTGGTGCATTACAGGGCATATCTTTTCATGCATGAACCCATTTTGGGAAAACTTCCTTTCCCTTGATGATTTGAGTTATTCACAAGCCTATACAACAGTGGTGAAAGTTTTCAGGGCATTCTGCATTAAGTCCTGCAAACTTCCTCCAACTTCAGTAAAAAACAAACCTTCCCAAGTTTAAGAAGGAGCTCCTTTTCTAGGTTTGCCATTAAATGTTCATCTCTACAAAAAATTTGTATTAAGATATAAACGCTGGCCTTGTTTAAATGAGGGTCAGAAATGCTATGTCTTGCAAGTGTGGAAGTTTTCTCAGTGAAGTTTTCAGTATAAGTTAAGCAAATTGGATTCCCTCTTATCCTACTGTGATTTTAGAGCATCCCAATATGGAGCATTATATTCTCACAAGAAAAAATATTACGAATGAACCAAGTTTTGCAGAGACTAATAAGGTATATTCCCTTTTCTAACCTGGCTCTATGCAACCCTTGTGTGTCAAATTCTCACTGGCCTGCCTCATTATATATATATTGGGAAAAAATTATTCCAGGTGACAGATTCAATATCATTGGGCAACATAGACTCTTTCAAGGGGGTCCAAGTATGTGACTTGACCAAAGCTCAAAATCACAGAGAATTGCATAAAGGAAAAAGACATTGCAAATATGTGTACAAATTGCTATAGCTTAGAAAGTAAAACAAGTTTCAGTTTCCAAAGGGGACAGCTCCATGAATTTCCAAGGACCATGTGCAATTCAATACTCTAAATTTTTGTCTTTGTTTCTTTGTATAAAAAGTTGCCAAAGGCATAAAACGTGAAAACAACTACCAATCTTCTGAATATAAAATAGGTGAGCCTGGCCCAACAAAACAAGGCTATCACATTTTGCAGAAGAAAAATTCTACTGCATCTGATTTGCCTCAACATCATCAAATCAAGGTTTCCCAGCTAATTTCAGAATATTAGTTATTTGATTTGCTATGTGTGACCTTGATAATAAAACAAAATTATGCTTAGCTACATGACTGGTTGGAATTATTGAAACCAACATTCATTCTGCTGCCAAGATATACCCATAAGCCGGCCAAATTAAAAAACACATTAATTCATTCCATATGGCATTGGCGTAAAAAGGATATTCAAGTAAGACAGTAAGATAGATTCTGCCTGCAAATTAGAATGTGGATAACAGTACATAGTCCTGCATATAAAATGTATGTAAGCTTCAATTAGAATTGATGAAGTAAACTATAATCACAAGGTAAGGGCCCATTTCTCCTGAAAGGAACATAGAATATGGCTGCCAAAGATGGCATGTTCCAGTATGCTGATGGTTTGGACAAGCTGTTGATGTTTTTGGGAACTTTAGGCAGCATTGGAGATGGATTGCAGTACCCTCTTACAATGTTTGTACTTAGCAAAGTGATCAATGAATATGGAAATGCTAATATCACATTGTCTAATGATACTGTAGATAAGGTATGTGCCATTAAGTCCCTCTCATGACATTTATTGTTTTAGTCAATAGCTGTTGCATTCTCAGGATATGTAAAGATATGACCAAAGGTAAAGCTATGGGCTTCAGACCTAGCTAGCAGCCAATCCGAGCTATTAACATGGATAAAATTGATTCCTATCTCCATTTATGATGAACCATCAGACAGGTTTTCATCATTTAAGTTGTATTTGCTCTGTTTTGAATTGTGGTTTGATGTTTGAAGTTAGACTATTAAGTATATTAAACTGAATTCTCTCTAGATTCTTGAAGTTATCAATGGTGTAAGCGCATGTGGGATACTTTATATAAACACTTTGTAGCCACTCTGTACTATTATTCCTCTTGGAAACTTGTTGAAATCCATGGTAATATACAAACAAAATGGATCTTTTGTAACTAATCGAAGAACTGCTAAAAAAAAAATGAAGGAACCTTATGAATCGAATATACCAGAATGTTTTTACAACACCTATCTCATCATTGCATCAAGAACTTCAATTGTGATACTTAATTACTTTGTTAACTATGTCACTGTAAATTCTATTCTGCAGTTTGCACTTAGGCTGCTCTATGTTGCAATTGGAGTTGGACTTTCAGCTTTTGTTCGTAAGTTGCAAGTCTAATAACTTTAGGCAGAGACTTTTCAAGAGTCATTTTCCATTACAAAGAGGTATTTATACAAACCGGATACAAATAACACGCTTTGCTTCCTTGTGATACCATTTTATACTTACAGAAGGAATTTGTTGGACACGAACTGCTGCGAGACAGACTTCCAGAATAAGGACAGAATACCTGAAATCTGTCCTTAGACAGGAAGTTGGCTTCTTTGACACTCAGGAAGCTGGCTCGTCAACAACCTTCCAAGTTGTGTCAACCATATCTGCTGATGCCAATGCAATTCAAGTTGCAATATGTGAGAAGGTCTGGATCATGTATCATTATTCTTTTGCACACAAAACTCATTCAATGTTGTAAACTCAGGGGAAACACTGCACTTTCTCCTGGAAAGAGTAATAATTCGATTTATCTATCCCAATAATCCCAGAAAAGGAATGCTTTATAGTAGACAATAGATAGATCATTTCTTTAACCATGTGAGAACTATTGGCTACTACATGATACTTTGAAGGTTTGTTATTAGAATTATTTAGAACATATTCTTCATCAATATGCTGTTCTAATAATTTTACTTTTTCCTGCCTGTAGATACCTAACTGCCTTGCATTCCTTTCGACTTTCTTCTTCTGCCTCCTTGTTTCCTTCATACTGTCATGGAAACTTACCTTAGCTGCCCTGCCTTTCACACTGTTGTTCATTGTTCCTGGACTTGTATTTGGGAAGCTTATGATGGATGTGATAATGAAGATGATTGAATCTTATGGTATTGCTGGTGGGATTGCAGAACAAGCAATTTCCTCAGTAAGAACTGTATATTCATATGTAGCAGAGAATCAAACGCTAGATAAGTTCAGCCGTGCCCTTGAAAAGACTTTGGAATTGGGAGAAAAGCAAGGTTTGGCAAAGGGCTTGCTGATGGGAAGTATGGGAAGCATTTATCTAGGATGGGCTTTTCAGGCATGGGTAGGGACTTATTTAGTTACTGAAAAAGGAGAAAAAGGTGGCTCAGTTTTTGTAGCTGGAATCAATGTCATAATGGGAGGATTGTGAGTTACTTTCTTTATGGCGGACTTTATTTTCTAATATCCTGATTGAACTTTTAACTCATTATTGTTTTGGTTCTACATTGCAGGAGTGTCTTGGGTGCACTACCAAATTTAACTGGCATCACTGAGGCAACTGTTGCTGCTACTAGGATTTTCGAGATGATTAACCGTGTTCCTACTATAGACACAGAAGATAGGAAAGGAAAGGCTTTATCATATGTAAGAGGAGAAATTGAGTTTAAGGACATCTATTTTAGTTATCCATCAAGACCTGATACACCAGTCTTGCAAGGTTTGAATCTTCGAATTCCTGCTGGTAAGTCTGTAGGTCTTGTTGGAGGCAGTGGTTCTGGCAAGTCCACAACCATTGCATTGCTTCAAAGATTTTATGACCCTATTGAAGGAGAAGTTTTCTTGGATGGATACAAAATAAGGAGACTTCAGCTGAAATGGTTGAGATCTCAAATGGGTCTAGTTAGCCAGGAACCTGTACTGTTTGCAACATCCATAAAAGAAAACATACTGTTTGGGAAAGAAGGAGCATCAATGGAGGATGTAATAAATGCAGCTAAGGCAGCTAATGCCCATGACTTCATTGTCAAGTTACCAGAGGGATATGAAACTCATGTAAGCTAGCTTCTACTCTCTCAATCAGAAACTGTTTTCAAATTACTATATTTGAGTTAATTCTAAAACAAACTTATAAGCCTTTAATAGTAACATGAAAGCTGTGTGGATATCCAGGTTGGTCAATTTGGGTTTCAGATGTCTGGTGGCCAGAAGCAGAGAATTGCCATAGCTAGGGCTTTAATCAGGGACCCTAAAATCTTGCTTCTCGATGAAGCGACTAGTGCCCTGGATGCAGAAGCTGAAAGGATAGTGCAGGAGGCAATTGACAAGGCATCAGTAGGGAGGACATCAATCATCATTGCTCACCGCCTATCAACAATCCGAAATGCAAATCTAATTGTGGTCCTTCAAGCCGGTAGAGTAATTGAATCCGGGTCACATGATGAACTAATGCAAATGAATGGTGGAGAAGGCAGAGAATACTACGGGATGGTAGAGTTACAGAAAATGGTATTGCAAAATGAAGCTTCTGATGATTCAAATTACCAAACTGAAGGAAGAAATCACCACAGGATGCATGTTGCACAAAGCCCAATGAGTTATAGATCAA